CCGACGCAGAGGCCGCGACGCCTCTGGGCACCGGGGCTCGAGAGCAACTTCCGTGCAGCCTCCGGCGGGCACCATGGGGTAAGGGCGGCTTCCTGCGCTCCGCGGGTCTCTGCCGACTGACCGGGCGAGCCGGGCCGCGCTGCCTCCTGCCCCTGCTCTGCCGGCTCTTCTCCAGCGCTCAGCTTTTACTCTTGCACGTGCTTCCCCGGCAGAGCTGGCCCCGGCCCCGGCCCCGGCCCCGCGATGGGTGGCGGGAGGTCGCTGGCATGGCCGGCGGTCTGCAGGCTGGCAGGAAGGTGGGAAGAAAAGGGGCCCGGGTGGGCGGCCCTGCCTCTCCTGCTGGGGCTCCTTTCGAGCTGGATTGGCAGGCACCACCTTAATCCAACTGCTCGGGTCCCCGTGCGAAGGTAGTGGAGGCATAACAAGGCAGCTGGGTACCTGGGGTGGCTTGCGGATGGTTTTGCCCCCTCCCCTGTTTCCCCATGTCGGCACCCTGGGGTGCCTGCCCCAGTCACTACAGTAGTGTAGCTACAGCAGGGAATCTCCATAAACAGCAACCAGCCTTTTACTCCTGTTGGCTCTTTAGGATCAGTGCAGCTAAGACGGGGACCTGGCTATCTCCATTAGGATACTTTTAAATCTAGGTAAACGCACTAAAGGCAGTTGTCTGGATTTCCTCAAGGAGACAACTCTTGGAGACGGTTGGCTTTTTGGTTCTAATGTGATATCAGAAATCATCCAGCCTGACTTGACCCCCGAGTGGGAGAAATATGCAACATCCTAAATATGTTTCTAGTCGCTTTCAGGGTATGGACAGATGAACCTCTTGAACTCTGTCAAGGAAGAGGAGCACTTCCTGCTCTAGGGCATACCTCGGGTGCCCAATTGAATTGTTCCATCTGTCCGTCTGTTCCTGTAGCACTATAAATGCTCTTATTTGCTGTAATGTTAACCGTGAAAGAGAGGCACAGATTAAAATTTTAAAATGGTTGTTACTACTCTTCCGCTATATTAGTAGACTGGTGTATAACAGGCTACATTTTAATATAGTTAATTGGATACAATACTTAATTTTCCAAAGTAACACTAGTTTAAGGTTTCATCTGCTTGCAGCTTCAGAGTTAAATGGCAGTTTGATTGATTTATACATAGTTACACTGATTAAACAAATTGAGATGGTAAGTCTCATTCCTCTTCTGTATTTTTTTTTTTTTTTTATATCAATTCTGTTTGCAAAAGTATGGCATTTTCCGACATGATGCAGAGAACAATCCATGACAGAAGCCTACTTCTCATATTTATAATTCTCTCCAGAAGTTCTTTCTTACAGGGGTAAGATGGGGTGACATTTCTCACGAGTCTGTCTAAGCTCTGAAATCACATGGTCTCTCTTGGAAAAACTTTACCCTCACCAACCTGCAATCTAAGCAGCTCACAAAATGAGTTGAAATTGTCCAGGTTCTAGGCTAGTTTCGGAGTCTACTATTAAACGTAAGGGAAAAGCCACATAAAGGAATTTTTTAAAAGAACAAAATTCTCCTTTATTAGGTGGTGTTCCTTTTGAAAACCCATCGGTTCAGGATACCTTCCTAGTGAATTAATCAAAGGAAACAGCAATGTGGATGGACTGTGAGCAACATATAATAAAATACACCAAATAAAAGTATAGCAAACTAAAAACGTACCATATTTTTAATACTTTTACACAATGGCAATGCAAAAATGTGAGGTGGAAATGTGACTCTTGCCAGACTGCACAGCATCACAAAAAGGCAATTACTGTGTGTCCTAAAACACTAGCAAAAAGTCACCTGTTCTTAAGAGTGAGAGCAGTGAACTCAGCACTGAATGGTGATGACCTTCAGTGTCTCATTCAGGGATTTGTGAACATGAAATTGGTATTTTCACTTAGAAGTGAAAGTGTGTGTTGTCTCAAGGACTGTTGGAGGAGAATGCTAAAAGCTTCCAAATATGTTAACGCTGCTGCTCATGGGGGCTCTAACCCCTCCTCTGGCTGCGTATGGCATGGGAAGAACTAACCACATCTTTTAGTAGTACAACTTTTTTCTTAGACTGACTGATCTCTCTCTGTCTTTCCCCTTCTCCCCCAAAAGCCAAACAGTTCTTCACTTTGCAGCAGGTTACATACCTGAAAGGTGAAGTTCAAGCAAGCAGTAATGCATTACAAGAAGTGCCTACAAATTAGTAAATGATTGTGGGGTGCTCATAGAATATAGATGTCATAAGCATCTTAAAGCTACATTAACTCAGGAATTTTTGCTTTCAGAGTGCTCCTTATATCTACTCATCTTAATGGTTCTTCTAAGACCTTGGCTGGCTGGCTTAAACCAAATGTGAGTGGAAAATGTATTTTACATCCTTCAGATAGTGGCACAGAATATTAATGTACCTAAATATACAAATTCCAGTCAGTAACAAAGTTTTTAACATTCTGTTCATAGTAATGAATCTCTCATCCATTTCCAGAGCACAGTTTTTTAACAAAACAAAACAAAAAGATGTCAAAACAGTATTCCACCATTTCAAAGAATGCAAAACTACTGATTCTGGTTTAGTGGTTTTGGTTAACAAGTACAAATATATCTCTATCTCCACCCCCTTAGGAAATAGAAGCGGAATTTTACCTACCACAAAGAAAAAGTAGGGAGGAGGTTGGCATGATAAGTACTTAGATTTTATAGCAGTGTGGAACTCCACCCCCCAAAACCCTATAGACTCTCCATCTGAAGAGTAGTATCCATTGTGCTCTTTCCTTAGAATCATATAGAAGTGCATTAACTCAAAAGCTGTAGTATTCTTTCTACGTTTTTTCCTTGTAAGGAAAGAGAAAAATGGAGCAGAAATATTGATGATGTATAATTGTAATTATTAAAAACAAAATCCTACTTAACTGCTTTCTACCTCTTCTTCCACTCGTTCCTGGCAAATATCAAAATGACTGAATGAACAACATTCAGTAATGATTCTGCTGCACCCACTTTTAAGAATGGGTCACTTTTTACGAGTGCTTAAGGCCATACAGTAGTAGCCCTACTAAGGAGGTTTTGAAGGTCCTTTAGTGTTGCTGTGCAGTCTGGCAATAGTGTATGCACACTATTTCTTAAGTAGGATACAGCAGATTATACCACCACTTTTTTCCTAGCAGATTATTACACTGCTACTCCTAACATCTGTTATACTTCTTCCTCAAGCTACAGAAGAAGTAGGAAATTCCTCTTGAAGCTGAACCTTCCCAAGTCAAGCTTTAAGAATGTGCTACCAGGCTATTTGATACAGTGATATAGTTAGTATTTAACATGCATGGATGCATATACTAAACTAAATGTCTAATAGGTTATGCAGGAGAACAGCACCTTTCACTATCTCAAACTGAACATACTAATTGCAATCCTGGGCTATTTCAAAGCCTTATTTATTCCAAGTGTTGGCTAACAGTGCAAGGAATCTCGCAGTAGGCAATTCATGAGTAGTCTATCCAGAAGGAAAGCTGCTTCTTCCTTGTAACTAGACATTTTCATGGTCCCTGCTAATGCTGTTTAATTCTTTACTGAATCCTACTAAGCTCTTGGCATCAGTGTCTGGTAGTGATGAGTTCAACAGGTTAATTATGCATTGTGTGAAGTGTTCCATTTTTCAGGCTTAAGCTTGTGCTTTTCAGTGTCAGTGAATGTCTGTTTTGCCTTGTAACATGAGAGAAGGCAAACAGGAGCTCCTGGCTGCTTTTATATTAAAATGCTTCCTTTGTGCCTATCCCTCATGTCTCCTCTTACCCATCTTCTTGCTAAACAGATCCAGTATTTTCATTCTCTCTGTGCACAGGTGACTTCTGTATCTTCAGTTACTGTCTTGTGATGTACTCCTTGTCACCCAGTATTTGGAAGACTAGCAGAAATAGAACTGAATTCAGTATTATAAAAGAAGGATAAAGTACTACTTAACTGAAATTGTAGTGTTCATCCAGTTTTTCTGTCCCAGTTCCAATGTTAATTGGTTCTTCTGTATGGGCAAAGTGCCTTAAGGAAGACCTCTGTTCAGACTGCATAGTGATATCAGTCTGTCTTCCGAGTCTTCACAATTTGCACCCAGGAATATGTAGGGGTAATCAGAATTATTTGCTTGGTATATTACCTTGCACACTTCAACAGGAAATTTTTGTTTGTTTGCTAGGTAGTTCCTGCACTCCCTGTAGCATAGCAATGGCAACTTTTGTCACTTACAATTTTTTTTTAAATTTGACTATTTACTTCTCCTTTTCTGATCACTGATAAATATATTTAATACTGGTTGTGGTATGGTGTGCACAAAGCTATTTAACTGTCACATTAATATTGTCGCTGCTATGATTCTGCTTTGAAGGATTGGATCCTGGTTTGCCTGTTTTTCCTCTCTCCTTTCTCTTCCCTCCATAATTAGTTTTCTCAACAGTGTATTTTGCAGGACTCTGACATGCATCTTGAAAATCCAGAGAAATTATTTTTTGCAGTTTGCCTCTCCTCCACCCTGGCTGAGGCAGGCTTTTCTTAACCTGCCAGTTTGTTATATCACATAAATTACAAAAACATTTACATTAGCTGTTTCAGTCACTTTACATGGTGCTGTGAATTACTGCCATATTGATTTTTCTTTTTCTTAAAGATGGTTACAATGCCACACCTCAGGTCTTCTCATAAGAGTGAACTTAAATGTGCATGTCTGCATATGCCAGCACCTTTTTCTAATTGCTGGAAATGGCCCACTTGGGGTGGCAAGGTTTGTGATAAGCTAGAGAATACTCTTGGAGGTTGTTCATCATGTGTGTTTATTCCATAGTTTCTGTTTTGTTTTGCATCTCTGTAAGAATTTGAAGTGCATACTTAAGGGCATAGGCAGACAACATTCTTTGGGTAAATGTGATATCTTTTATTAGATCAACTAGATTGTTGGAGAAATTGTTCTTTGCGAGCTTTTGGGCACAAACACCCCTCTTCAGACATAGAGAGAATCTGCTGGCGTGTGTGCTTTCCTGTGTGGAATAGAAGCCAATATGCAAAATGCAGGTGGGCATATGTGGCTGCTGGCTGAATGCCTATTACTAGTGGGGTTACTATCTATATCCGACTAGTCCAGAAATAATACTTTTTTTAATTGGAGATCTCTAACACTCCATTTTAGCAAGTATGTTAGGTGCAACTTTTTTTTTTTAAATAGGCATCTATAAAAAGGAAGGTTTTCTTTGGTTATTCTCCCCCCAACCCTTCATAACTAATCTAACTGGCAAATCACTACACTACTGTCTAAACATATAATTCCGCGTCCCTAAAAAGTCTCTTGGATTTACCAGAAAACTTAAGATGGGTGTTATGAAGAGCTGCTTCTGTCTGAGTGCATCTGTGCTACATGCTATACAATTTAAACTTCCTCAGAGGAATTTATACAACAATCTACCTGTAACCTATTCCTGCATATTGCTTTTTTAGAAGTATTTTTCCTTGAACCTTTTTGTAAGTGGTGTATCTATCCTTGATACCTCTAGATACAAACAGCACTAACAGAATAACAAATAAGCTCTCACTTATCACAGTCAATCCCAGTGCTAAACAGCCAGTTACAATGTAGTGTCCCTTCCTGAGCACCACCTCCAATTGAAAGATTTTGCTTCTGGTGGCCCTAGTGAGCTAGGTTCAATCTAGATTCAGGAACTCCCTCTGTCTTCTGTGCCATTTGAGTTTCTCTGAAATAATGGAATTATTACAAAGGCGAGACTTGAAAGGGCGGAGCTTTCTGACTGTGTTTGTGATCTTGGGGACTACTGAGACAGGGGGATCTAAAGGACAAAATGTATCGCTTGCCTGGTTGCAATTCCTTTTCCATGATTACTTAAGAATGTATCCTTTCCTTTGGAAGGGAATGGAGTGTGGTTAAAAAGCAGATCAACAGTTCTTAGTACAGAAGTTGGATCCATGTAATTCACTAAAGACCACAAATAAGTGAAATATAAATATCTAGAAAAATGAAGTCCAGTTTGTTTTATAGCAATATGGCCCTCTACTACTACCTTTGGCAGTAGTGTGTGGAGACCTGTACTATGCTTAAACTATTCTGTCATAGTGAATTTTTTTTGACTGAAAAAGGTACAAGAAAACCTAAAGCAGCTGTTGCTGCCTTTCAACACAGGCATGCAGGAGTTTGGCTTAAGCCATTTGGTTTATTTGTTTGTTTTTCCATTCCTGCTACCTAATGAAATCTTAAGGATGATGCAGGTAGAGGCATCAGGAGTTCCTCTAGTTAGCCTTTGTACTGATGTTAAATATATTAGTTCACAAGTCTTAAACTCTTTTTTTTTTTTAACGTTTTTTCTTCAAACTGCTATAGATAAATGGTACAAAAACTGTAGAGAACAGCTCTCAGGGTGAAGTCCTACTCTGTTAATGTGTGTCCAGCCCTTTTTGCTTCCTTGGGACTAGGATTTCGCCCTAAATGTCTGTCTCAAGATAAATATGCATGGCTTTAAAGGAATATTTTTTGAGAAAAAATATATATTTATGTGTATATAAGTATGCGTAAACATATATAGTACACACATAACAGAAATATTTTAATGGAAATTTGGCTAAGATGATAGCCATACCACTTTTGAATATGATACACAACATATTGCAAATGTTGGCTGTGTCTTTGTCTTAAATTATATAATTACTGCAGGTTCTTTTAAATACCTTTATTTTAACATCTACTTGTTGCAGTCATACTAATGGGACTACTGGTAGAAAGTGGTTCTACTTCTAATACAAGGAAAGACTTATTTTTTGTAAAACAAAACAAAAAAAACCACACAAAAAAACCCCACACACCCCCCTCCCCCCCAAATAGAGCTATGAAGTCTAGGAGTTGGAAACTAGCACAGCACCCGAGAGAAGTAAATAAACTGTAGTAGCGAAGTTCAGTTTGTGTTTAGTATTCTTAAAAGTTTGTGGGGGTGCACTTTTTTCTTTCTTGGAGGAAGGGGGAGGTTTTTTTCCATCCAGTCTCCTCTCAGTGGTATGACTGACTTGGGTAACAGGAAAATCCTAGTATCCTTAAATTTGTTTCTAACTAGGACTGTGTGAAGCTTTAGTTGCTGATTTGATTTGGCGGCTGAATCTCCAAATCCGAATCAAATCAGGAGACCCTTTAATCTCTTCAAATCAAATCGGAACCCTCCAAATCGATTTGGAGAGATTCGATGATTCACTGGAGAAACATTTCGAGCTTTAAATGTTTTTTCTGTGTATCCCAAGGTACCAGGTGGCTCATGAACACGGAGATGGTGGGGCAGATGGAGCATCCTGTGCCAGGGGTGGGGATCCCCAGTATG